TTCAGCGAATATCGGAGTCATTATTATTGTATCATAAAAGCGATGCTCATCCCGAGGTCCCCAAAGTTCAAAACTTGGTAAGTAAAAAAAAATTGAAATGTAATAAAAAGTTACAATTAGAAATTACAATTAGAAATAAAAGAAAAAAAGAAATAAAAATTGTCTCGGATTTAGATACTTTTAATTAAAAATAATAAATTAAAAAAAAAAAGAAAGATTTTACATTAAATTTTGTAAAAATTTCTGGAAGAAATGAGCTAAAAATTGACTTTTACTGCCTAATTACTATCTAAATAAACGTCGTCCAAACTGGCCAGATAGTGAAAATTAGTCAGTAACCAGAATTCCTGGCCAATTTTCTACTTGGGATATTGCTAGTAAGTTCACTAAACTCCATATCGTGATTCGCTTTCGCGCTTAAATTCCCACTTAAATGACATATCTGTAAATCACTAATTATTCAATCGACAATTCGATAAGACTAATTCGAAACTGTAAACAATATTTTAAGCGCAAATTCTGTTATCAAATTGCAATAAATTTTTCCCAACCAAAAGTACCGACAAGTTTCCGAATTATAATCGAGAATTTAAGGATCGCCAGGAATTAAGCTTGGAATTAAGACTATCAGTTGTTTCTATCTTCGTGGAGATAAATCTTTCGGCGTATCAATTTGAAATCTATTATCAGTAAATTTTCTTCTGATATCTTCAAAAATCCGTTACAATTCTTATATATGGCCTTTGAATCTTCAATAATTTACTTTAATGAGACATTACACATAAAAGTACACACAGAACAGTGTTTCCCTAAATTTGTTTCATGTTTATTAGACTTTCTAAATGTCGGCTCTCTCTCTCTCTCTCTCTCTCTCTCTCTCTCTCTCTCTCTCTCTCTCCTCCTTTTCTTACAATTGATCGTGACATTCGTGACATTAGGAAACGAGCTCGGCTCGTAGTAGGACAATAAATTGTTTTGGATGAAAAGAACGGCAAGAGATCTTCCGATGGAATCACCAGCATTCGCCTTCGACTACGATCGACGGACAGGATCGTGGAAGGAAGAGACCGTTACTCTCAATGGACCAATGGCCTCTGTGTTTCTCGCCTTCCCATTAAGCGTGCGCGCGCGATCGCATCGCATCCCGTTTTCCTATTCATAGAATAAATTTCGACGAAACGCGCGAGACGAAAATCTAGATCCGATTTCAAAATCGTTACTGCCAGAAATCCGACTCGACGATTGACCTCCCACGGAAATATCAAAAGATATTGAAACGCGCCGCTGAGAAACAGCTAGACCGGGGAATGTTTCTCCATCCGTTGAATTCTCGCGAGTCGCTCACTTTATCGAATTTCAGCCAAGTGCAAGTCGATATTCTCAAAGGGTGAGCGAAACTTCTTCATTTCGACGGTCATGATCGGATTACGACTTCTTAAGCATGGAAATTAGCTTGAAGTAAAGTGGCGAGAACGAAATCAAAGAGCGCCATCGTTAGTCTTTTCTAAAGTGGCTTAGTATTTCAACAGAAAGTTTTTCGATTTCTTCTTTCACTCTATTTTTCTTAAGGTCTTACTTATCGATATTACGATATGGTAAATTCGTTAAGTTATACATTCTTTTAGAAGATCAGGAAAAATATTTTATTCGGTTCGTTAAAAAGTCAAAATACAAATACTTGGAAATCTCTCTCTCTCTCTCTCTCTCTGGTTCTCTTTCTGGCAACTAATGAAATTAAAAACTTGGAACAGAATTTAAATCAAGGCGAAGTAAGCTACGGGGTCAGTGAGAAGGACGCTTAATTAGTTCCAGCGGTATGTTCCCCGCATCTTTCGTCGGAAGTTATCGTGGTCGGGAGGGGCACCGAGATAGAATATATAATACAACGATAGAGCATGAGCGTATATCTTTGGCCCTTTATGCGAGTTTTGACCCTCGCCGCCAGCATCAAAGCATCATCTTTTCGCTCCGAGCCTTGTCCTCCCTCTGTCGACTTGCTCAAATACTCTGAGCTAATTCCGTTTACTTGTATATTAATAACTACCCTGCTATCAATTGTAAAAGGGGGCGCGTACTTATCGTATTCGGGATATTAATGCCGACCGGAGAAGAATGATTAAAATGACAGAAGAGCATCCACAAAGTCTCGATCGCTTTTTCCTACGTGCGTTTAAAGTGTAAGTATATAATCCTTTGATCTCTGCGCTTAATTAAGAGTTAACGAAGAATCTAGATGTCTCTTAAATAATGAATACGTTTTATCAAAGTGAATTCAATTAGAAATAATTTTGCACTCTTCCTCGCTTGTCACCGCACAAGAATGTTGTCTTTCTATTTGTTGACATGGCGGGGTTGGATACTTAATGCGTGTGGTGTGCGGTTAATTGGATCCGGATCCTTTCGGGAAAAATATTCATCTTCGGAAATAAATTTCCTGTCACGCATGATCGAAAATAATGATGCGCGTGAGAGGTGCGCTAATTCCTGTCCGAGCAAACTGATTAGGGCGAGTCGTGAGAACATTCTCGTTTTTATCAATCTTGCTTTTTCAGGCGACGCAACTTCCTTTGGAGAGAATCGTTCGAGGAAGGTCTCGGATCAGGCCTGGACTAACCCTAAGAGGATTCCCCACTTTAGTTCGCGCGTACGTTGACGTACGCATTCCTTGTATATAGTGAGGGGAACCACGTGAAACGTGAATTCCTCGACCTGGGAAATGGAACATCGCCTCTCGTCATCTATGATCGTCAGGCAATGGACAAGTCTTGTCGTTCATCCGATCGATCTGCGGAACGCGTGCAAGACGTGGAATTCCGAGCGGGCGACTTGTCAGGATTGAATACGGAAGATCGCCGATAAGCATCAGTATTCGAAAGACGGAATGTTTGAAAAATCGATTTGGGACCACGATTTCATATTATTAACGCATATTTTAAAGTTAAACGGTCGTCCACGTTTGAATCTTATTTGTCCAGTGTGAGGAAGACGTTTGGAGTGTCAATAGATGACGAGAATCGTATACGGACACCAACACTTAGCGCCGAGAATACTTAGCGACGAACCTTTGGGAGGAACTTTAAAGGCTCGTAGGTGTAACTAATATCGCGGCCGTTTTTACGAGGAGCACGTGCGCTTAAGAGTTCACGGAAGAGAAAAAGAGATAGACAGGGAAGGGAGAGAGAAACGTGTATTTCGACGTAGCACTTCCGACGGGTGAGATGGAATGGGAGGTGCAAAGTGAACTCGAGTGGTTCACGGAGAACGAAGCGTGTAGCGAGAGCGTTCTTTTTCGGGTCATTCTCGAAAAAAAGAAGATCGGACACCCGTGCGTGGTCCGCCGGCGTAGCCATCCCTCTTCGGTCTGTTTCGTTCGTGCGCGCGGGGGTGGGGGAGAGGCTCTCAGGGGGGAGGGAGGCGCGTCGAACGTTTAGCACCCAGAAAAATCAACAGCAGTCTCAAAGAACCTTTTCAAACAGAGTGTTACGCTGGCCGATTAGCGCTGCGATACTAACAATCGACGTTGCGAGAGAAAGGAGTGAAAAAAGAAGTACGAGCACGCGTGTACCATTCGATCGTTTCATGATCGTTTCATGATCGAGGGCGAAAAAAAGGATTTTTGACAATTGAATAAAATAAATAAAGAATAAAAAGTTTACGGAAAGAGGCAAGAAGCTTGTGGGATCTTGATGACGAGCAAAGAGTTATTAAATCCATTTTTAGAGACAAATTGCCTTCTCCGTTAAACAATGACGTCCTGCATAAATATTACGAAAGTATATTACGAAAGTATCAAGTGAAGATAAAGCATAGAGTAAATAATGGAGGGATATAATAAAAATAGAATAAAAATTACAACAAAGCTTGGAGATATCCAATGAGTTTGTCGAGTCGCGAAAAAAATCAAAGCCGCCAGTTTATCGTCATGATCGAGCCAAAGGCTCGAACGCGAGATATCCGTGGCCGACACCCACGTAGGGTCACAAAGGAGGATGTCCCCCGTGCGCGAAACTGCATTCTCGGTGCCTACGATGTTTAAATAAACACCGTAGCGTGTCCCTCCTTTTCCCTTCTCCGGCCCGTCTTTTCGGCCGGCACCTCTGCCGGCGCGGCTGTATCACTAATTTGTCCGTTCAAACAAAAAGCAATTTGTTACCCGGTTGGACTGACTCACGAACCGAGCAGTACATACGGTCCGACCGTGGAGCGCGAAGGAGGACGAGGAGGAGGCGGGAGTGATGCTGCAGGAGAGAATCGGCAGAAGAAGAGGAGAAACGGAGAGAGGTGGAGGCTGATTTAAACCTGTCTGGCGGCCCGCTGCGCGCTTAACAACTGAAAAACAAACATGGCGCCGAGAGAGCGCATCGGCCAGCGGGAGCCCACGTATGTGCCGCGTGCGTACCGAGACTATAAAGTGCTTCTGGTACCCACCGGAACCCGGCCAGTCCAGAGGTCCAAAAGATTTCTCCACTCCGCGAGAGAAGAATAAAAAAAAAAACAAAAAAATACAGAGAGAGAAGAAAATGTCGGGAGATCCTGGAATTTTTTTCCATCTAGGCGTTCCTTTGTTACGATCGTCGAAAGAGAGAAAGAGAGAGAGAGAGAGCTCCTGAATCGCGTGCAACGACCTCGCGAGAGAGTATTAATTTATGTTTGAGACATTTTTAATATTTCCCTTTGGCCACGCAGAAAAGGATGCCGAGCGTGCGCGCGAGTAAGCGAGCGGAATTCCTACGTCGACGGGAATTTCCCCGTGTTGCTGTTGGCACGTCGAATATTTCCGTGGAAATTCGCGATATTTAAGAAATTGTTTTGTTCTTCACATCGAGGAAGGGCGAATCTTACTTTCGGATTCTCGATGCTTGTATCGCTTAAAAAGTCGAGCTATCGGAGTGAATAATTTTCCTTCGTACCGAAGAGAGAAAAAAACACAGATTTTACGTTAAGATTTTAAGAAGTTTGATGTCTTCTATAACATGCGATGAAAATTTTAATCTACTTACACCAGGAGTGTTAGCTTGAGGCCCGAAAGGATATCTCGTCCAATCGAGTTTCTCCTCCGTCGTCGTGTCCAAGAGAACAACTGCAAACATAAAGAAAATGCGATGTTAGTAGTTTGAAATAACATCATAATAATTATAATAAATATTGTTCATTTTTTTCTTTCTAAATTATAAGATAAAAAAATGTGTCTTATAAAAAGCAGAGAAAAATAATTTTAAAGAATTCCCAAATTTCTTTTTTATATTTTCATCAACTCCCATGATGCAATTCCTTCAATTACCTTATTTCGTACAATCAACACACCTATCAGAATAATTACACGCCACAATGTTACATGGAAAAACAAGTTTTGCTGAAGTATCTAAAAATTTAGTCAGATGTAGATCTGAAAATAACTTTGTTAGCCTAATTACGTAGGAGCCTCACAAACTAGTTGTTAGAAAATCAAAACTTTTTACAACATTGCTCATCGTTATGTTTGAGTTTCCTATATAATTATTTTAATAATTCAACAAAATTATTTTCAGATCTGCATCTATCTAAATTTTTTGATATTTGAGCAAAATCGTTCTTTCTTTGTGCAATTACAGAAGACGATACGAAATTCAAACAATAACCAGACTTGACTGAGCTTATCTTGAGAAAGACAGCAAGTATACGTGCCAAAGTCATCGTGAGGAAATCCACCCACTGAAGAGAGATGAGACTATAGGAGTACGTTCCCTCTGAAAATGGCGGAAAATGCGAGGGGTGAAAAAATACTGAGAGATGATAGGCAAGAGGAAGGAGGAAAAGAAAGAGAGAGAAAGAGAGACATGTAAGGTTGGAAAAAAAAAACGAAAAGACCCGCTATATCGGTGCATTCGCGCAAGAACCAAGTTCCGCGCTCTGTCCTGCCTCATGCTCGTCGTATAGAGGTGGCAGTGGTGATGTTGGTGGTAGTGGTCGTATCGACCGGGTCTGGGCCCGCCACCAACCCTCGATTCTCCTCTCTCCCTTTCGTCGATCCGTTCTTCCTCTCTTCGCCTCTCATCCACGTGCTTAGCACATTCCTCTCTTCTCCTCTGTCCATTCGTCTCTCTTCTTTTCGCCTCGCGTTCTTTGTATCTCCAGCACCTTTTCTCTTTTCAGCCTTGACAGCACGTCCATCCTCCTTCCTTCCTGTATCTCCTTTTCATCGTTCCTTTCTTATGTTCTTCCCGCGCCTTCCTTCCTCCCCTTTTATTTTTATCACCATCAGTCATTTAATTCTTCTTCTAGTTTTCCTTCATTTCGCGATATTCGCCTAAACCTACATTGAACTAGGTTTACTGTATCACTGGTCTCTAATAATGATTGTCCTTAGAGTTCCTATTTGGATACCAGGTCTTTAAATTTCTAGACCAAAGCGCGACGCGAATGCGACACTCTCATCCATTCATCTCCGACAGCACAGAATCTCAAAGGTGAAAACTGGGTATGCTTTAAAATCCATTTTTGTTTATACCATTTTTTTGGACCCTTTCCCTTCCATTTCCTCGCCCATCGACCTCCCATCCTGCCGATTGAATCGACAGAGGCACTCGCGCGAACTGCAATTATCTCGCTGCATCCAGATCGATGCGGAGCAGAGTGTGAGCGACAGATCGCGTGCTCAAAACAAAAAAAGAAAAAAAAATTGTGCCGAATGTAACTTTGGGATTAATCTGGGACGAAGTTCTGGTCCAACAGAGACCTAAACAAATTTTTAGGCGATTCCAAGCTAAATTGCAAAAAATAAAACTTTCTCTCTGTTGCTGTAACAATTTTTATTTTCTATCTAAATAAAAGGATGTATTGCACGGACGTTTCATAGGATACGTGTACCTATATTTTGGAATGCGCGAGAGTTCGATAACGGCGAGCATTAATATCGCAAAAGGGATACTCCATTTTAAGCCGAGGGATCAGTTACCCTCTAAGCCATATCATTGTGAAGAGTATTTCGCAGGAGTGGAGTTTGCACTGCAGCGTGCCGATCTAATTCGAGTGCTCTCGTGAAGAACTTGGAATATATAGGCACGCGCGTCTTCGCACAATCGAATTCACGGAGTAAGATCCGAGAGAGAGTTTGCTCCTTCCATATCGCCTTTATCGCTCCTAATAAACTTCGCAGAAAGCTTGGCAGATTGACCTCAGGATTATTCTCTAATACTGACGAGATTTACTCGACGAATAACCGACTCAATCCGCTACGCTTATTATAATGTTTCTTCAAATTTACATTTTAGACAGCGCCATTTCCACCTTCTCGTCACGCGTTACATCGAAGAAGATATCTATTTCTTGAAGGCCGAACGTACGAAGAAATGAATTATGGGATGACAAACCTCACAACCTCTCGGATCGATCTGATACTACGTAGTGACACGAATGAACTTGAGCCACGTAAGAAAAAGATATGTCTCCGTATAGAAACTATCGAGTTTACTCTTAGCCATTTCCAATCTATACACATATAGCTATATCGCTGCACCACCA